CTCCTTCAGACCTCTGCCATATGGGCTATTCTACCTTCTTTTTACTCAGTGACTCCATTTGATCTCTCGGTTGTGTCTAAAGCTCATGTTTGTAATAGTAAGAATTATTCTTTATAGCTAAAGTAAAGTGAAATGCCTTCAAAAAACCATTTTGACACAAAAAAGGGTGGTCTATATTGAGGCAGTTGCATTGCTGTATACTAAAATTTGTCTTACTCTTTGTATTAAGCTCCTATTATTGAGACAGGTTTGGGTGTTATTCTTTTTTTAAGATGGCTATGTGACTAGTCACCTATTTTATATATGTCAGGGTTGTAACTCTGGGAGTCTAGTATTATGTCTTTTGAAGTCAGGCTTTGCTGCTGGTAGTCTTCACTTCTACAGCATCTGTGTTTAGGTTGAGTGAGCGCCGCCGCAAACGTCTCCAGGAGCTGGAGGGTCAAATCGCTGATCTGAAGAAGAAACTGAATGAGCAGTCCAAACTTCTGAAACTAAAGGAATCCACAGAGCATACTGTCTCCAAACTGAACCAGGAGATACGGGTAATAAATTCTCATCCTTGCATTTACCCCCATTGGAATTTACAAACATAGGTATTCCCTTTAGAAATATTCTAGAAGTGTTTTCAGGTAAGAAAATTGCAGGCAGGGCAATCATTTCAAGTGTGTGAATCTCCACAAATGTCCCTTTTGCAGAACATTGTGCTAGTGGTCATCTAGAATCTGCTTAATAAAACCTTGCTTTGACATTCAAAATTTAATGTTAGAGTCTCTGAAACCAAAGAACAAAGACGTCTCCATACTTAGTGGTTACATCCTGATCACCTTCCATGATCACGCAGCATAATTTCCTAAAGTAGTAACAAGATGACAGACACCTAGAGAAAATTCTCGGTTATTGAATGTTCAACTTGTAACACCAACAAAGTGGTGGTTACAGGCTACTTGTACTGAAACCTTTAGAACACAATGGTTGCTAGGTGGATTTGTCCTGGAGGCTTAGTAGATGTTTCCTTGAAATTTCATTTGTATACAGTGAATTTAGGGTTGGATTTAGCTTGTGGGTACATTTTTCTTTAATTTTTTCTCAGTGTTCACTTGTGTAGTCTATACTTGGAAACCCTGTGCAAGCATAGCAAGGGGTATTATAAGCCTAATCAGAAAATCTGTTGGTGGCTTTCCCAGCCTAGTCCTGAGTTTTCTCTCTTCTTAATGGTAAGTCTGTCCATCCACACCAGCCTAGAATAAAGTACAGATGACTAATACTTGTGCTTGTTTTTGTTTTTATAGATGATGAAAAACCAGCGGGTACAGTTAATGCGTCAGATGAAAGAGGATGCTGAGAAGTTCAGACAGTGGAAGCAGAAAAAAGACAAAGAAGTAATACAGTTAAAAGAACGAGTAAGTAACTAAAACTTCTTAAAGGCCTAGCTAATAAACCCTTCTCTGAGCTAACTAACAATTTTAATGCTTCTCTTCAAACACCTTGTGTTTCCAAAAATGTGACATATTCATGAATTTAACAACTTTTTATTAAATGTCTACTATGTCTATTATGTGCAAGGTACTATCTACTAGGCACTATGGGAAATAGAAAAATTAGTAGTATATAAACTCTGCCCTTGAAGAATGTCTTGTTTAAAGGAGACAGTAAGGCCGGGCGCGGTGGCTCAAGCCTGTAATCCCAGCACTTTGGGAGGCCGAGGCGGGTGGATCACGAGGTCAAGAGATCGAGACCATCCTGGTCAA